CTGTGGTTTCCAGCCAAACAAAATACAGGCATATGAGTTGAACATTTACCTCAAGTAGATACACTCCTTGGAGAGAACAATCATAGGAGAAAGAAAGACTGCTTATGCACAGCGAGACAGCTCAGGGGGCAGGAGGGATGGACACTGGGAAGAGGTAACTATGGGGAGGAAATGTGAGGGGAGCTGTTGCACTGTGGTAAACTGTGGTCAATGACATGAGACGAAGTATATGTGAACTGCTGTATGGAAAGTGAATTTGCTCTGTAAATCTTCACCCAAATCACAATAAAAAAAGAAAAAAAATCTTTCTGGAACTGGCCAAACAGAATATTACCATCCAAATACAAACCAATACACAATTCAAATTTAAAAATAAACCCAGATGCAGTAAAAATTAGCTGAAAGAAAAACAATATGATCACAACCTTCTTACACTGCCACTCAAAATCTGTAAAAACTTACTGAAGACTAAAATTAATGTATATTGTACATTAAAACTGTAAGCAAACATTGATTCAACATACCTACTTCGAGTTTTTGAAAATACACACAAACTAATTAACAAACCTATGTAGGCTCAAAGAAAATAAACATTCTTAAATCTTTTTTTTCTATTCATATATTTTTAAAAGAAAAACAAAATCATAACATAGGCATTTATGATATAGAGTGAAGTAACAGTTAAATAAGAATGAAATCTCATCGAAAAAATACAAAGACGGAATTTGTGGTTTAATACATAGGTTAGTTGATTAAGGGAACATCTACAAAGTCCTCAGATACCTAAAGAGTAAAGTGGTACAAAAAATTATTAAGAAGTTTTAATAACAGTAATATTTTAGCACTTACTGAAAATGCTTAAGGAAAGGAACTACCAATCACTAGGTACAAAAAAGGTACTATTACACAATGAATATTTTTAATACTATTTAGACTAAATATACTACTGTCTATAAAATTTTTTAAAAGCCCATTATTTTCTGGATAATAAAAATGATAATTCTTCACGTTCTATGCACTCCCTTCTGCCCTATCAAAAAAGGGAGTGGGAGCAGTGTTGAAGAAATCTGAATATAGGAACTTAATTGTTCTGATCCCATTTATCACTTATAATATTTAGGATCCATAAAGAAGGAAGGGTAAAGAATTAAGTGTATTCCCCATTTTAAAGAAGTATGTGGTGAAGATCCCCTGGCAGAGTCTTCACCATGACTTTTACCATCAGAGTTTATAGAATCAATCACTGATACATGAACTTGGAAAATATACCCAATGTAAGAAAAAAATGGTCAAGCAAACACATAAGGTATACACTCAACTTACTAGTAAGCATTCTCTTCTATAATGTGATATCAATTCTTCATCATGTCCTCTGTATGGGCCTTTGGACAAGAGTTCTTTGTTATTCTGATAAGCACATATAAGGAACAGCAAGGAATCTATATAACTTAAAGATGAAAAATGAAACACATTAGTATCTCAATTTTGTAACAAAATAAATAAAAACTAAATTATAAAACATTCAAATTTTGATTATTCAGAACAACATTACAGCAAAAAATATCACTGGAGAGACTGTATGCCTGAGACCACCTCCGTAGTAATAGCAATATCTGATATGAAGAGATAGTTAAGTCTTTAGAGTTAAAAAAAAAATAAAGTAACAAATTTACTTAAGAAAAAACTGAAAGAAAAAGTTTAAAATTGATGAAATCAGATAATTCCTTTTGTCTTCTTCAGTATTTATTTTCTCGATGCCTTCTTTTTGGAGTCAAAATTAAGACTGATGTAAAAGCCAACGATTTACATGTTTAACAATATAAAGTCATTTTTGAATAAAGGAAGAAGATCAGTTTACTTTGTTTCTTTATCACAAACATCATTTGTTCATTCATTAAGTGACCATTTACTCACTGCTTTTCTTTGTATATGAAGCTTGGTGGCACAGTGCCTAAGGCATGTGACTACTAAATAGAAGGCTGGCAGTTCAAATGCACCAGCTGCTCCGCAGGAGGAAGATGGGTGTGGCAATATAGTTCCATAAAGATTTACTGCCTTGGAAACCCAAAGAGGGTCGCTATGAGGCAGACTCGACTCCAAGGCAGTGAGATTTTTTTTTTTTTCCTTTGGATAAGCACTGCTTTTTTCCTTTGTATAAGCATTCATAAAAACATAAAAGGATAGGGGGAGAAATTATCCAAAGGAAATAGGAGTTGGAAAAGGGAAAGAATGCTTCTAAATCTGGGCAGTATGGTGAGAAGAAAAACAACAAAACACCTAACATAAAAAGCTATCAGGGTAAGGTCTATGTAGTATAGCTAACATAAGTAACAGTAATGTAAGATTGTAATGAATTTCAAACTACATATATAAATGGAAGTGCAAGGAAAATGTTGAATAGAATATTATACTGTCACTAAAATAATTAACCTTCTCTTAGCATGCTATAGGATCCCTGGTGATACAGGGGTATTTGGCTGCTAACCAAAAGGCTGGTTGTTTGAACCCAACAGCCATTCCATAGGAGAAAGATGAGGAGTTTGCTACCATAAAGATTTACAGTCTTAGAAACACTACAGGGCAGTTCTACTCTGTCCTATAGGGTCATTATGAGTTGGAATCAACTTGATGGCACTGGGTTTGGTTTGGTTTTGGTTTAGCATGCTATAGGAAAAAATATATACATCCATAAATGTATATAACTGAAATATGAAAACTAATTTAAGGTATTTGCTTTGTGTCAGTTTTACAATCTAAAATATCTTATTATGGATCAACATAGAAAAATGTAACATCCTAAAGAGTGAAATATTTTAAAGAGAGAAAATTTTAAAACTCTATAATGCCAATCCAACCTACTTCGGTAATGATACTGCCTTGGAAACCCAAGGAGGGGTCGCTATAAGTCGAGTCCGACTTGACGGCACATAGCAACGTCATACTGCCAATCAGTGTCACTGTTTGTTATTTTAATGTATTCAGATAAAAATTAATCTGTTCTATTTCTCAAAGTTCAATGCAAAATTATTTGGAAAGTAATATACACATTTATGCCAATCAAATTACACAGCTGAAACTGTATCATGAAAAATAAGCTTTTGTAAAACAAATATTTTTTGAAAATGACTTCTCAGGAATTTGTTTTTGAGAAAACATGAGTACAAAATTTTATTTTGAAATAATATGAACATAATCTCAGCAAAAGATTTTTTGTCTTGCTTACATCAAAACAAAGTGATCACAGTAGTAAATGTTATTGTTTTATACCACTATTTTGAAGCAGTTGTTGTCTAATAGATAACTGGCACAAGTATCTTTCTTTCATAGCTACTGGGTTTACTGTTTAAAAGCTTTCTCCTGAAAGCATGATTTCATTTCACTACTCACAGAATTGGCAATGGCCCAACAGTAAATACTTCATTCAAGGCTTTCAAGTATTAACATTTTCATTAGAAAACAATTTGACAGAGCCATTTGGCAATGCTTTATATGCTGCTGGCTTTGATAACTTATATATTTAATGTGATAAACCCAAAAACTAACATTTATTTTCAAGATAATCCATTCTATTTGCTACCACTACTAATTTTCTAGTCAATTCTTCCAATTTCATAAACATTTACTGTATTAGAATACCAACTTTCAAAACATGTATGTATTTAAACACTCAGCCAACTACAAAATCTGAAAGGACTTCTGAGGTACACCTTAAAATCCTTTAACAAACGTTAACTGAGAAAAGCTAGTGTAGGAGTTATGCAGGTAGCTAGAAAGGGACAGCTTCATATTTTTAATCTTTACTGAGTGAGCTAAATGGATATTTTCTGTACTTATGTGATTTTTTAAAATAATACAACAATACTCTGGTCTACTTTTATTTTTAGCTCATTAGCTAGATGTGTGACTTGAAGTTATCTTGTTTTTGTGGAGACATATTTCTTTATCTACAAATGTAAATACCTTCTTTGATCATAGACTTTCTATTCAATTGCAGCATATTAATATTTTTGTCACATGAGGACAAATCTCAGAAAACCTAAAAGTGAATTCGAGTATTTCTGTTTAAGAAATAAAACCCTGAATAAAATTAAAACTAATAAAATGAAGCTATTAATTAAAACAGTATTCTACTTCAGTAACCAAAGGGAATTCTCTTTATAAAGTACACAGTGACAAGGACTTTAATAATTTGTATTCAATTCACTATAGCAACGAGATGGAAACAACCTAAATGCTCATCAACAGATGAATGGATAACCAAACTATGGTACATTCACACAATGGAATACTATGCAACATTAAAGAATAATGAATACATGAATCATCTCACAACGTGGATGAATTTGGAGGACATTATGCTGACCAAAGTAAGTCAATCACAGAAGGACAAATACTATATGAACCCATACCTTTCTCTTTGAAAATATTCTAGCCCAATTATGAGATACATGGTTGTTTCCCTGAATTTTCTATAATCCTGATGCCACTCCTGTAGGTAAAGACAAGTATTAAAAATACAGAGAATATGAAACTGAAATTGAAATGAGGACTGTTCATAAAGTAACTAAGTTATACAACAGTTCTATGATAATTATTTGAATTAACAAAAGGAAAGAATTCAAGTTGAGATAAATTATACCAAAATCAAGATTTTAAATTCTTACTGAAAAGTATTTACTAATGTAACAATAAATATAAAAATTATTAGGCATTGATGAAAAATTAACAAAGATCTCACTAGGATATACCACAATTAGAAAAGCAGGATAATCTCTTTCTCTTGTTCTTAAAAATATTTAATAATATTGTAATAATATGCTTTTATTTTGAAGTATATAAAATACATTGAATGTTGGCTAAATTCTTATGGAGGTAAAAGTAGTTATTACTTTGAAATGAATCAAAGCTTGGACACTGTAACCTGATGCAGAATTGTACAAAAATTAATTTAAAAAAGGCTATGCTGTTCCTTGTTAGGTTCCACTGAGTTGGCTCTGACTCATAGCGACCCTGTGCACAACAGAATGGAACACTGCTTTCTGTGCCATCATCACAATTCCTGCTATACTCAAGCTCACTGTTCCAGTCAGTGTGTCAATGGTGAGACCAAGTTTGGACATTATCACTTCTAAGGAGCATTCCAGCTATACTCCTTGAAAGATGCTTTTTGTGTGCTTCACCAACAATTCAACTCAATCAATTCTTCTTCTGTCTTCCTTATTCACTGTCCAGCTTTCATAAGCAGGTGAGGTGACTGAAAATACCATAACCTGGGTCAAGCACATTTTAGTCTTCAAATGACATCTTTGCTCTTAAACACCTTAAAGAAGTCTTTTGCAGCAGATTTGCCCAGTGTAATGTGATATCTGATGTCTTAACTGCTGCTTCCATGGAAAATCAATAATTTGATTGTGGATCCAAGTAAAATGAAATCCCTGCAACTTTCATCTTTTCTCCATTTATCGTGATGTAACTTATTTCTCTAGCTGTAAAGATTTTCTTTTTCTTTATGCTGAGGTATAATCCACACCCAAGACTGTACTCTCTGATCTTCATCAGTAATTGTTTCATCTTCACTTTCAGCAAGCAAGGTTGTGTCATCTGCATTATCGCAGCTTGTTAACAGTCTTCCTCCAATCCTGATGCCATGTTCTTCTTCATATAGTCTACCTTCTTGGATGATTTGTCCAGGATACAGATTGAAAGGATACAACCCTAACATACACCCTTCCTGATTTTAAATCATGCAGTATCCTCTTGTTCTGTTTGAACAATTGCCTCTCAGGCTATGTACAAGTTCCTCATGGGCACAATTAAGTGTTCTGGAAGTCCCTTCCTTGTATAGTCAATAATACACAAGTAAACATCTTCCTGCTATTCTTTGTTTTTAGCCAAGATTCATGTAACATCAGCAATGATATCCCTTGTTTCATGTCCTCTTCTGAATTTCTGGCAGCTCTCTGTCCATATACTGCTGCAACCATTTTTAAATTCTCTTCAGCAAAATTTTACTTACGTAAAATGTTTTATCATAAATTTATTTAAACTTTTAATTTTTCTAAGTTTTTGGTAAATTTCATTTTAAGTATGGTAGCTGAGTAATCTATTTACCTGAGGAAAAGGGAAATGGACAGTTGTAAAGAAGGCACATTTCACACCTCCCAATCACTCCACACATACACACACAAGAACAATGAAGAACACTTAAATAGACTAAGTGACTCAGAGCTGATGTAACTGTAGGAGAAAATAAAATCATGATGTTTTTAACTCATTTAATACAAATGGATTCAAGAAAAACATAAGTAAAATTAAATAATTTTAATAATTATTAATTTTAATAATTTCAGTAAAAGATATACTGATAATAAAAATGTTAAAACATTTATACACATTTTTATAAACAGATGAAAGTAATAATTATATAGACAAGTTATGAGCTGACAATATTCTCCCTGAATATAAATAATTTTAATGTTTTAAAGTACAATTTTAATATTATTAGTAGACTTTCATATCAAATAAAGGTAAAAGCTGTTCTGAAAGTATAAAATTACCTTTTCTGGAGAAATTATTCAAATTGCCATTCTATGCATCAGAATTGCTTTAGAAGTTGTTACTTTGATCAAGAATAGACTTTCTGTAAAGGGCCTGATATAAGTGTTTTTAGGCTTCACAGGAGGTACAGTCTCCATTACAACCACACAATGCAAAAGCAGCCACAACTACAAACTATAAACAAAAAATTGGCTGTGTTCCAATAAATCTAGGTGGTGAGCCAGATTTGGTTTTCTGGTCAAGGTTTAAGACCCATAACTTAAGAGCAAGACAAAGAAAAGAGGGACATGTAGAATCCAAAAACATGTCATTTAGATATCTAAGATTTATTTAAGGGAACTCTGGTAGCGTAGTGCCTAAGGCACTTGACTGCTAACCAGAACCACCAGCCACTCCTCGGAAGGAAGGTTGGGCAATCTACTTTCATAGTGATACTGCCTCAGAAACCCAAGGAGGGGTCGCTCTGAGTCGGGTCCAACTCGATGGCACATAACAACAACAATAACAGTATTCATTTGATCTTAAGTTAGAAATAATATGAGAAGGTTTCTGAATAAAGATTGCTAAATCCAACCTGATGAAGCAATTTGGGTGAGTGGTTGCAGGCGCAAATCAGAATTGAAAATTAAGTACCACGTAACTTGAATCTTGGGAACAAGGCTAGAGAGATCAACTCATTTAAAAGGTATGATTGTGGAGCTGTTATTAACTTAAAAAAAAAGACTCTATTTGCTCTTCATGGTCATGAGAAACATATTCTGGATACCTACAGTTCCAGATCATATATCTTGGTCAAATTTTCTGATTAATGTGCTTCCTTTATAGGTAAATGTCCCTGAGCTTCTATTTATGTTGTTATTGCCTGGACTAAAACCAAAAAAACCTAAACTCACTCACTGCCATTGAGTCGGATCTGACTCACAGTGACCCCTCCTTGAGCTTCTGAGGTGGTATCGCTACAGAAGAAGATTGCCCAATATTCCTTCCGAGGAGTGGCTCTTGGGTTTGAACCGTCAGCCTTCGTGTTAGCAGTCAAATGCCTTAGGGACTACACCACATGCCTGGACTAAATTAGGTAATATATGTAAAAAGCTTAGAACCATATTTGGCATGTAGTAGGTACTTAATATTAGTTGTAATTATGTAACTGCTGTTTTAAAAATAATGTGATTTGTTGTATTGTAGTTGAACTGAACAAGTTCATGAAAAAAAGTAGCTGGAATTAATCTCACAGTATAACAGATTATACTAAAAAACAAAAAGGAAAAAATTCCTTGGTTTTAAATATACTGGTTTACATGTTAGCATATAATATTAATCCTAAAATAATTTACAAAGTTATTAATGACTTCAACGTAGACGTAGACATTTAATTTTACTTATCAGCCCTAAAAATCTGAACTTAGCTGTACTGAAATGAAAGGAATGCCAGTGCATTACTAAACTCTAAAATCTGTATTACAACCTCTAAAAAGGGACATTACCTCATATTCCTCCAAGTTTACTTCTTCAGGTTTTATCATTTCAAGTTTTGCTTGAGCAACTTTCATTATATTGTGACACCTTCAAATAAAAGAAATGTATCCCCAAATCAAAAACAAAATACATAAAAGCCAAAAAAAAAAAAACCATATTATACAAAAACTAAATTAGCAAACACATATAAAAATGAAATATGTTAACCACTGAGCAATACATATACATATACATATATATATAAGGAAACATCTCCCAAACAACCTTAAGAGAAAAATGTGGTTTTTTGGACCAATTTTAAATAATTACAAAGTATATAAAGATAGCATCAATAATCTACTTCTATAGTGATACTGTCTCGGAAACCCAAGGAGGGGTCACTATGAGTCGGGTCCAACTGACACATAACAACAACAACATGTTATATTTGTATTTGGCTACAGTGTTTAAATTACACTCTATCAATAAATATACAAACTACAAAAGGTCACTTAAGTGGAATTAAAATACCTTGAACACACAATGACAGATGCAATACAAATTACATTGGGAAAAGAATAAGAATTTTTTTTTTAATTAAATCTTATTTTTCTACCAAATGGCATTATTCTTAAATAGTAAAAAGGAGAATTCCAAAATGTGCCTATGATATAAGGATGGCAACAGTCTAATAGATTTTATGGTTGGATTTACTGCTAAAGAAAGCTTCACAACATATAATTAATCACATATACCTTCTTTCAAGTACAAGAAATATCAGTTTATCAAAACAGATTGAGTTATGATTTCCAGGACAGATAATTGCAAAAGGTTAAAAAGTTAATGTGATTACTCCCTTAACATTTTCCCCTAATTCAACAGAACATATTGATTAGAACAAAGTGCAATGGCAGATCAGATGAGGATGGCAATAATTAGTCATTTTTTTGAGTTCTCCATAGCTCTCCATAGCAAAATAAATGATTTTTGATACTACTAGTAGTAAAAACTAGTATTAGCGAAGACTCATCAAATACTTACTTAATTTACCAGATATTATTCAAATCCATTTACTTATTTAAATTAATTAATTGCATAGTGCTTCACAGTAAAGCAGGAATTGAATCCAGATGCTTTTTATCTCATTTTCCTTTCCTTTTAACTATATACTTTTAGAGACATCCATGAAAGAATAATCATTTATTTCAGAATTAAACTGTGATTACAATGAACTCCAAGACAGCAAAAATGTTGTATCCTAAAATAACTTTCAGAATCTTGGAATTTTACATGGAGTCTAAATATTTTTTGTTTCATTCTAACTAGATTACTTTTTAATTTTTAAACAGGAAACATTTGTAAGAGAAAACATTTTGTAAAAAATCCAAAAATAATTTAACTATTGTACATCTTTTTTTGTCAAAGGATGTTTATTTACATACTTGATTTGATACTCTTCTCCAATACTTCCCAAACAGGGGTGCTTTCTTCCCTAAACCATACTAGAGACATATGGCAATATGGACATTTTGGGTTCTCACAAATAAGGGGATACTACCAACATCTAGCAGCTACAGGCCAAGCATACTGCTACACACACGACAATGCAGGACAGCCTCCCCTCAATTTACAGCAAAGAATTCTCTGATTCACAAGGTTCCTAGTGCAGAGGCTAAAAATCCTTCATTCCGCCTTTAAAATATTAAGTCTTGTTAGGCTGTCCTTACATTCTTCTGAGTATCCTTCCATTGTTTAGCTTTGTACTTTGATTCATAATTAAAATTTACTAAATGACTGAAGTCATTTTTCAGGCCAATCTTTAACACATGATTACAGATTCCAGAGAATTTTACAAAGCAGCTGTTCAAATTAGGTGAAATCAAATTTTGTGCTGTATTTATTTAAAAATGTCTTTTTTATGTATAAAATAAGCATTTTAAAATTACATGGGGATTTTTTTTTTTTAAAGAATAATTTTAAACATATGGATTAGATATTTCTTACTTTCAAATTACCTTTCATCAAAACTCAAATTTCTGTCTCCAAATTGTTCTAATAGTGTTTTCTCAATGATCTTCTTTGGTGCCTGGTTCTGGATAAAGTAGACCACTACATGGTGTAAGCGATAATCAGTTTCTGGTGGGGTATCTTCTTGGGCCAACTTAACCAGCCTTGAATACTCCAATTTTATTGCCTAAAAAATAAAATGACAATGACAATTTTGGTTAATTTTAATAATTAAGATCAACTTTATTCCTGAATTCATTTTTTTTTTCCTTTCTTAAGTTTTACAAACAAGGTAGTACATCTAAAAATACTGTCTCATGTTTCAAAGTTTGTAATTATTTTCTAAATTACTGACTACATATGCTCTTCCTCAAAATTCCACTATACAAATACTCTTTTTGTTTTCATACACAGAAGTGGTAAACTAATGCATCTACACTTACTAAGTGAGTAACTCTGGGTTCAGAGCCTGATCACTGGGATGTTAACTTCTCCTACCCCATTTTATTTCTCCTATCAGTATGATGTGCATTTCTAATATTCCAAATTCTAGAATCCAAATATAGTTCCCCAGAAAATCCATATTTGAAAGAAAATGGCTGGCTCTTGAATGTATGGCAATACTACACAATTACCTTTAAGCTGAATAGTTCACAAATAAGGGATGAAATAGCAAGCCTTGATATTGAATCCCATGTTGCTTCATCAGTGTTTGAGTTTTATCAGTGTACTAATTATCAATAATTGTTAATAAATGTTTTCACTATTATTACCTTGATGCTTCAGCTTACTTTTTTTGTTTTTAAATAGAAACACCTAAGAATTTACAATAACAATGGGGAATAATAAATATTAATACATAATAATATGTGTTTTCATATATGAGCAAATAATTTAGAAATTATTTATTTAGACATGTGGAAACTTATACAAGCAGCCCATATAAATAAAGATAACACTTTTTTATATTCATTTATATTAGACTTATACCTAAATTATAGCTCTCCTAGCCACAAAAATATGGGACTATATATGCAAAATATATTACAAAACATCTATTCTGTTTAGAAAGGTTTTTGTTTGTTTTGTTTTGTAAATGCCTTTAAGCAATTCTTGGCCATCTACAAACTACCACCTATCTGGTTGCATTTTATAAAAAGGAAGAAGTTTATATCTTCATTTTACTCTATTTAAGATTCTCCCAATATCACAAGTGAATGTCAAGATCATAGTACTTTCAATCTTCTAAACCACTAGAGATAGTAAGGCATTTCTAAAATTCTAAGAGCAGTATTTCAAACACACACGTGTGCGCACATGCACACACACACACACGCAAACATGAATCATCAGTATCAATTCATTTCTCCACTATATATTTTTATTTATAAACTTCCATTTCTGACTTGTACAATATACTGGGGGTTGTATCTAGTCTTTCAAATTCTCAACAGATGCTGGTATATTTAGCAGAGCTTTACATAAGCTGCCATTACGAGTAAAGTTAGCACTGCTGAGCTGTTCAATTTGCCGCATACTACTTCCTCAGAATCCAGCTCTATAATTAAGTTTGTCCTTTCTATATTCGTTGGCTGATTATGATGGCAATTATTTTATGTAATTATTGCAGACACTGCAATGAAACCACCACAAATTTACAGAATAAAATGTGATAATTGATCATTAGGTTACAGAACTACTTTTTAATTATTTTTAACCTCTGTTTCACCAGAAGGAGCTCTGGTGTGACTGCTAACCAGAAGGCTGGTGGCTCAAACCCACCAGCCATTCTTCAGAAGGAAGATTGGGCAATCTACTTCCGTAAAGATACTGCCTTGGAAACCCAAGGAGGGGTCATTATGAGTTGAAATCGACTTGACAGAAGTCGATTCAGTTCTTTTGGTTTTATTTCACCAGACCTTCACCATTGCCCTCCTAATCAGACCCAATGATACCTATTCAGTTTTGATTACTATTAGTCTTTACCCATGGATTTCTCTCTTAGCTCAAGTTAGTCTCTTCACAAATGCACAACTGCTTTTGCTTATTAAGTTCTCTGCATGTGGGATGTCCTTTCTTGTCATCTACCTACAAAGTAACCATTCAACAAGAATATTTTTTGATACCTTCTTCAGTTCTAAACACCTAAGAGATTTCTATCTACTTTTTCCTACTTTTCTAAATTATATTTATAATTTGAATCCTTGAAGACTTTATTTTATTGTGCCTATACACATACCAAGGAGTGCTGGTGACACAGTGGTTAAAGGTGTGGCAATTTGCTTCTATAAAGATTTACAGCCTTGGATACCTATGAAACAATTCTACTCTGTCTCATACAGAGTCACTATGAGTCAAAATCAATTTGTCAGCAATGAATTTGGGTTTGACATATACATACCAACTAGAGAAACATATAATATATTCTGAAGGCAATGAGATTCAAAATGACTATATATGTTGTTTTTGGGAGCTCTGGTAGCATAGTGGCTACGACACTTGCCTGCTAACCAGACGGCTGGTGGTTCAAACCC